GGTTCTCTTTATCTAGTTTTTTGACTTGTGTAGAATATAAACCACATGTTACATCATATTTATGCAAAGATATTGAAAATTCAAAATGAGTCACAAACTTTGAACATCACTTAGGGTTTTATAGATAATGACCAACATCTTTACCAGAAATATACTGGTAGCTAATGGAGCATCCACAGTACAGGTAATACACTGTTTCATAGCATATGGACCAGTGCGTGAAGTTTTCAAGTTGTCTTCAGGGCTGGTGTCAGATGAAGAGTGTTGGAGTGGTGTTTACAGAAAAAGAAAAACTTTGATCTATGACTAATCTTTGAGAGGGGAAGTTACAGGAAGGATTTAAGGTGGCTAAACATATTGAATTGCAATTCTGACTGGTGGCCAATTGACTCCTGAAAGACAGAATTGTTATAAAACATTGATTTTACTGAAACCTTGACAACTGAAAATATAGTGGATTATAAAAATTATATATAAAGACAAGAACTATACAAAATTGGACTGTTTGGATTTTGAGTTTTGGCTGGCTTGACAAGGCTAACTACAGAGACTATGGCACTCATGACAGATCACTTGAAAGGGGGAGACAACATGAATATGACATATTCATCAAAAATGATAGAAAACCACACTTAATATCTACTCCTGAAGGATTCAGCCTGAAAGATCAAAGACTCTAGAAGCAACATTTCAAGACAAGACAAATACTTTCCAAGAAGAAATTTATGCAATGCTACAACAGATACAAATCACAATAGCTCTAAACCACGAGGAGATTAAACATAACTTTGATAACATAAATGAATACACTTCTAATTTAAATTTACAATAAAAAACATTCAAAGAATGATAGTAAAGAATGAACAAACAAATCAGATAACAAAATGTTAACTAGAAAAAAATGACTTACGGTAATTGGCGAAGTCACAAATGAAGGGAATCATAACTTAATACAAACAAGAAAAAACTCGCAACATGTGGATACAACAATAAATATGGAAAAGATACCTTATGGATTAGAATGTCAAAATAAACCGGAGAAGAAAGAAGACTTAACAAAATGGACACTGCTAGGAGAATCACTGTTTGAGAGACAAAAAGCATACATCTTACGTATTATGTATCCTCTATGCCTAACAACAACTACAAAAATACAAGAACTGTTTGACAAGTCGAAAATATTAATTTGGAAAACAATTTGGCAAAGGAAGAAGATTAGAGACAGGCTTAAGAGACTTGACTTGCCCTACCAGATGGAATATTATATGAGCAAACACTTGTCTGAATATGGCTAAAAAAACAAATAACTTTGGCTATAAAGGGGCTTTAGAATAAGTGGAATAAGAGATATAAGTAATATGCTATTTTTTGATGATGAAAGTGAAGAAAAAGTTTGAACTTTAAAGACAAATTAAGTTTGAAAAGATTTAGGATTAAGGAATGATTGAAATATTGAGGAGAAATTAGGCTTAATAAGAACTGGAAAAAGGATATATAGTGATTCAATCAATTTTTACAAATAGAAGTGAAATATAAATTGATTAGAAAAGATGTTATAGGTAGATGTTATGATAGATACAGTAAGTAGTATAGTATTTCTATAATATATGAAATATGAAAATACTGGGATGATATATTTAAGTGGAAAATTTGGATATTTAGATGTTAATTACTGAGGAAATTATGATTGATAAGAATTGTTTGAATATTATGGAGAAATTGATCTTAGATTTATGAAAATAAGATATATGGTGAATCAGTAAGATGACTTTTACGAAAATAACATAAGTTGATAAGAAAAAAATGCTAAATGTGGACGCTATTACAGTATTGTTGGTATAAATATAGAAGAAAATGTTTTTATTTATGGAAAATATCAAAAATTATATTTGTTTAATGCTGAAAAAGAATACTATTGGGAGAAGAGAGGATCAAGGAAATATATTATCAATTGATATATTAATTATGGAAATATAAAAATTAATTATTATTGACTGTTAATTATCTATTGATTGTAAAAAAAATTCATGAACCAAGCCAACACGCTGTACTAAGGTTGTTATTGTAAAAAATCAATAAAACTCTTACAAAAAAAGAGTGTTGCAGTGATGGGATTCAACTGGTTTGCACCAGTGCGGTAGAACCGGTAGCTAATTTTTTGTTGACTTCGATGAATCGACTGATGCCCTGGCCTTGCCCTTTTTCGCAAGGCCCAGAACAGACCACCGGAAGTGCATGGATGCCACTTCTGGAAGTCCATTCTGAGCTGGGGAGGCCTCCCAGACCCAGTACGTGGATGCCACTTCCAAAAGTCCATTATGAGCCGGGGAGGCCTCCCAGGCCTAGAATGGCCCACCAAAAGTGGTGTCCATGCAGAGAACTGGTTGTTCAGGTATTTGAATCCCACCACTGGAGTGTTGCCCTGATTTAATTGACAAATAAAGAATACGTGTTTTATGGTCTAAAGTCTCCATATATACTTGGGGCTACAACTGGCTTCTAGATTAAAAGCAAGTGAGACTTGTTGGGATTCACCTTGGCTCACTCTATCCAGACCCTTACAAATAATAGAGCATCAACTGCATCTCCTGTTCAGCTCATAGTTATAATCTACAATTACATGTCATCCATATATTGATGCTGCATCATCTGAACCAACAATCTACTGTATTCTAGGGGTACAATTTATATATATTACATTAAATGGGGAAAAGAACAGGATACCCAATGGCAGTCATCAGGGATATGATACTCTGCCCTAGCTAATATTATTTTGAATTACCCACTCCGGAAGAAGTAACACTGTAATCCAATATCTTCAATTCCTAACCCTCTTAGACAGTTTAGAAGGATACCATAGTTGTGCATGAGAGCAATCAATATAGCTTCAGTTCCATATCCAGACCTGGCACTTATTAACAGCAAATTGAGATCTAACAAGACTACCAGAGAAGACGATCTTAAATTATAATGGAGAGATCAGCACCACAAACTGCAGCCTTTCCCCCTATCTAATCTCCTCTTCCATTTTTACAATGCAACTTTTTTTTAATCAAAAGTAAATATTACTCCAGTTAATATATGACTACTTAAACACACACAACCAGATCCCAAATATAGACAAAGTCTATCCCATAATAACATAATGCCACCTAGTATCTTATTTCACTCCAGATATCCTCCAGATACATTCTGGCAGTTCCAGCTGCCATTGTTAATTGAATTCCACATGGTTGCAGCATCCGCCAGTCATGTTATCGCCATTTGTGACCTCCTGCCAGCTTCCCCAATGTCTTTGCTTGTTAAGCCAGCAGTGGAGGTTACAAAGCGTGATCATGAGACTGTGTAGCACTGCAACAGCCAAAATTATGAGGACCCGTGGTAAGTACTCCTCATTCAGCACCACTTTAACATTAACAGCTGCCGAATCAATGGATGCTAAGTGACATTTCCTGTATTTCATACATATCTCCAAGGAGGATGTAATATGTATAAAAACAAAATGAAATGCTTCAAATGCAACTGAATATATAACAATTAAGTAGCATGCAATATCTTGTGAAATTCCATGGCTCCTATAAGTGCTTGTGAAATTCCACGGCTCCTATTCAATTGAAATGCACAAAATATGGCCAATAGGTAATGCGTGAGGATAACGGATTAGTAAAGTTTCAGTCAAAGGGTAAGAAAGGAAAATAGCACTTTAACACAGAACCTTTTAGTGCTTTGCAAACATAATGACGCGGCTGATAATTCAGGAAGTTGGCAAAGTAAGCAGTCCAAGTCAAGTTTAAAGTATGCCAAGTTTCGAAGGAGATGGTCATTCAGTGTTCCCTCCCTTTTAAAAAAAACTTGATAAGTATTGTGTTCCACAGGAATTTTAAAAGCTTCCTTAAACTAAGCTAAAGCATTGACTTATATTGCTCATTATTATCCATAATGGACTGGCAATGCTTCCATAAAATTCAAACTGAGTATTTCCCAATCCTCCCAGGAGATCACTGAGGAACTAAATCATGACACTTGTTGCACTAAGATTCATGTCTACCAAGAAGCTATCATTCCTCTTCTTTTTAGAAAAATATGCTTTTATAAAATGTCCTATCATGAGGGAGAGAGAGAGAGAGAGAGAGTGAGTAATTACTTCATGGTCAGAAATGTTAAACTTTGAACCTTGCTTCCTTTTGCCCCTTTGAGATAAAAAAGGTTGTAAAGAAAGGTAGCAGTTTGCTTTTTCCACTAACCCATTTCCAGAATAAATGAAGGACTCTGGACATCATTGACTGGATTTATACTTCACACTAAGCCATAGTTTCTTTAACCAAGGTTTACTGAAACCACCATAAAATAAGTTTCCAACCAATTCTGAGTAGGTCCAAAAAAATGCACTAAACCCAAACAATACCAAAGATACATGACAACTCCCAGTTGTTACCCGCAGCATTATAATGCTGTACTGATAAGCTTTTTAATCCATTCAGAAATCCATCCCTTTCTTGTTCAAACAGGAACTGGTAGAACTTCTTTACAGAATAAAGGGAAAAAATCCAAAGACCTCCACGTTTCCTTCTGACAGGGGTCCAAGCTATATCAGTGCTGTGGCACGGACGGAATAACTGGAACTGAGAACCATGAGCCACAACAGCGATATTCGGTGACCTACGCTGTGCGTTACGCTATTGTGCTACGGAGAAAATTAAATGCAGATATAAAAGCAGCTCTGTGGAATCAAGATAGATTCATTAAGCCCCTCCAGAAGATGTCTTCAATAAACAGGGCATTCTGACACGCACACACACACACACGCACCCCAACACAGAGTGGCGACATGGAGAGCTCTCCGTCTGGGTTGCAGCCTTGATCCCAAATACAGCGGCACTCGGTTTCCCCTGGTTTCCCCCTCCTTCGGCTAACCAGGCAGCGCGGGCAGAGTTCTCCGGCGAAGTTCCGTCTCGCCCGCCAGCGCCGCCGGCACGGCACTCTCGGCCTCCTCGGCTTACCTGTCGCCGGATTCAAAAGCGCTCTCCGGTGCCTTCTGGCGACCTCTTTCCGCTCCTCCTCGTCTTCTTCTAGACGCCAGGCTTCAGCCATCGGCGCCAGGGACAAAGGCGGCCTTCAGGCAGCGGCGTCCACCATTGCGCTTAGGCAGACTCTGGGCTCCCCTTTGTCCGCACCTGCACCTGACGCTTCCCGCCGGAGAGGGCGGGGAGTCCCGGTTTCGACGCGGCCCCTTTGCTTTCTCCTCCCTCCCTCCCTTCCTGCCTTCCGTCTCGCCTAGCTGCAGTCCAGGCCTTTTACGGTTCCGTCCCGAACGAGCTCCGGGACTTCAGGGAAACGAGGGGACGGCTCCAGCTACGGAAGGCAGCTAAAGGGACAAGTGAGCGAAGGTGGCGTTTCCCTGCCCGCTCGCAACACTCCAGGATCAACAGGAAGCGAGACTCTCGCCTGATAGTAAAACAAAAGCGGAGGGGGGGCGCGGTAATCTGGAGCAGCAAGGAACAATCGCAGCTCAGGAATGCGAGGGGACGAAGCGACCTCCGCCTGCGGTGGGAAGCGAAAGGGCGGAGTACCACCAGAGCCAGGGATAGGCAACCTTGGCTCTTTTATGACTCGTGGACTTCAACTCCCAGAATTCCTGAGCCAGCTGTGCTGGCTCAGGAATTCTGGGAGTTGAAGTCCACGAGTCATAAAAGAGCCAAGGTTGCCTACCCCTGCACCAGACGCTTGGCTCAAGGGGGGGGGGGCGCAGCGAGCGAGAGGTGCTTTCTGTAAGCCCGAGACCATTCCTTGGACTCCAGGACTTGCTTTTCCTTTCGCTGGAGCTCTGCCAGAGGCATTTTCTCACACTTTCGAGATTTTGCAACGCAAGCAGCGACGCAGATTTACTTGAGAAGCCAGTGCGCCCCTTTGCGTTTTGCATTGCACAGTTGAACGGAGATAAGGCAGACAGGGAGGTTTGTCATTATTTAAAAAAAAACACACCTTGTGCTTCAGGCCTGTTGTATTATATATTTTTGTATTATACCCATCTTCGCTAACCCCATATCCCATGGAGGTGATGGGCAGTGGCAAAAGACAGTAGAAGAACCCACTGATAAGAGATACATGAATGCAAGGGTCAAGTTATCCACTGTGTTTAAAAATACTGATTATTAAAAACATGGGTGGGGCTTGTCTCCACATTATGTTTATAGTACAGGGGGGGGGGAGAAATTCCATAGCAAAATTATAGAGTAGTTTATCATGAATCAAAAAACAATATGCAGTTCTACAAACAGTAAAATGATAGGTCAGGTTTTATAAAGATACTGCAAATGAAGATATACATAGAAGTGAGGGAAAAGCACACATCATACTAGTTAACAAGGGCATCCATCAACAATAATGGAACTTTTAGTTTTAATATGAGGAGATTGCCAGGGAAGAGCAGACTAATGTAGTAAATTACTATCATGTCATATAAAATACGAAATGAAAACTAAGCATAGTTTAGAATAGAATAGAGCTGGAAGGGACCTTGGAGGTCTTCTAGTCCAGCCCCCCCACTCAAGCAGGAGAACCTCCTGACCTATACCATCTCAGATAAGTGACTGTCTAGCCTCTTCTTAAAAATCTCCAGTGGTGGAGCACCCATGATTTTTGGCAAGCTGTTCAACTGGTTAATTGTCTTCACTGTCAGGAAATTTCTCCTTAGTTCTCTCCTGCAAACCACAATTTACTTAATAAAAGGAAATGCCAGAAAGATTTCAAACTATGTTGTGCACAATTAAAAAAAATAAATTCTGTCCACCAAAGTTGTTATTAATAGTTTATAGCCAGTTTATAACAAAGATTTATAACCAGTCATATGAAAGATGATCTGATTATAATATAATTATGATTCTGTGCTTTGTAATTAATGCTATTCTTTAGTACAGGGGTAGTCAACCTTGGCTCTTTTATGACTCATGGATTTCAACTCCCAGAATTCCTGAGCCAGCTAAGCTGGCTCAGGAATTCTGGGAATTGAAGTCCACGAGTCATAAAAGAGCCAAGGTTGACTACTCCTGCTTTAGTATAAAGTAATTTTGTATTTAAAAATGAATACAGTTATATGGACCTCATTTTTCCAAGGTCTAAGAACCTGGAAGGGCACATCAATTACCTTGACCTGACCTTTCAGTTAGTAGAAAGTTATCCAGGTCTTACTGTCACTCTTAACTTTGTATGTTCTGCTTGAACACAGATGGCGATATCTAGTATGCCCTTTCCACACCCAATTTTTTTATGGAAACAAACATTTTTATAGATTCCGTAAATCTAGGTGTGCATAGATGAGCTGATATGTTGTGCTAAGCTATAATTTGCTTAGCCACTGATGGGCAAACCACAATTGGCTATTTTCACAGTACTAAGCACAAACCAAATAGACTTCATGTCTGCATAATGCAAAAAATATATTCAAAAATAGTATGTCTACTCTTTCCAAAGAGATGGGAAGGTAAAACCTGTCTATTGTGGCTTCCACTGTGACGGACCACTGCACGTATTTTTTCTTTCAGTCAGGAAAAAAAAGGAGCAGCAAACAATGATGCCTGGCATATTAATCAAGATGGCTACTGTCTTACAAACTGAAGAAACCCTTGGTATGCGTGATCACCTGTTGCCACTGAAACACTGGCTGATTAACTAATATATAGTTTCTATCAGGCAATTGTTGTACAAATTGCAAACTGTGCCACAAAGTTACCAGAAGAGTATTTCCTAAGTTCTTCATCAACAAATAGAGTTGTAAACCGATATTTGCCTCTGCTCAGATAAGCAGCATGAGAATCCTGATACATTCATTTTACCTTCTGTTCTCGAGATAAAGATTTCTATACTTGAAAAAAGTTCTGGAAGAATATTAGGATTCCTATTTTTAGGAAAGCATCACAAGAAAGAGATTAGTTGCATCACACAATGTATTAATCTCTGAATAACTATAGTGAATAAGATGCAACTGATGTATGAATTCAACCAAATCAATTTCAATGCATTGTGGCTAAGTAAATCATGACTTATTTAGAGTAAACCAGTCAAGGGTAGTTTATTTAACAAAGCATAGTTTAAAAATAATGGTTTAATGCAGTTTGTAGACACTAGCATGAGAATGCAGTATGTGATTTCTACCTTTGCAATTTTGGTAGCAAATATCGATCGACTGAATTTATATCCTGTCTTTTATCAGGAGCTCAGGATAATGAATGTACACTCCTCCCTCAAGTTGCCTGTAACAGCAATTTTATGACAGATTGGGCTGAGAGAGAGCATAACTGATCCAAAGTCATCATGGATGAATGTGGACTCTGTAGTCCTAGTCCAATATGTTATCCAATGTACTATACTGCCTTTCTTAAACTATATAAAGAGGCAACAGATTTACTCATCTGCACTAAATAACATTTAAAGCTAATTAGAAAAAGCACAGGAAATGCATCACATTAGTGCCATTATTATACACAGTTTTATGTAAGAGTTATCAAGCCCAAGAAACTACAATAGGTAAAGCAAATATGTGGACAAGCTTTGCCTACATTCCCAAAATAATACTAAGAAATCTAAACTTAAGCCTAATAGATACAAAGATTGAAAGAATCTGGAATTACAGAAAGATTACATTTTTAGAAACAAGATTCAAAGGAAAAAAAACTGACTTAATGCAGTTCTGTGCAGAGGACTGCATATGACAAGCCCAAACAGGTAATACAAAATAATACTTTGGGGCATAATCCTATATAGAAACTTGCTTTAGGGAAAACAGGATTTACCCGAAGACCTCCATACCAGCTAAACACCTCATATCTTCCTGCTATGACTAAACAAGTTCACATATTATTGCAATGGTATGCAGAAGAATAACTAAAAAGGTGGAATATGGTGGAATATGTCAATGCAGAGAACAAATACACAATGACCTGGTTTAAATAATACACTAAATCATGTTATGCTTAGTTCTAGGTTGCTTCTCTCCTTGATTAGTTTCCATCCATTGCTTCTTGTCCTTCCCTCAGGTGCTTGACTCCCTCTTCTTTGTGGCAACCCCTGAGATATTGGAACACTGATATCATGTCACCCCTAGTCATTTCAGGTGTATCAGACTTGCCACGTCATGTGACATGTGACGTATTGCGACTTTTCCCCCATTGCCGGAGCTGGGGTGGGCATGGTTTCCGTATGATGCATCTGGCCCATGGGCCGGCAGTTTGACACCCCTGAACTAGACATACCCAATTCCAGCAACTGTTCTTTATATGTTTTGGCCTCCGGTCCCGTAATCATCTTTGCTGTTCTTATATACACCTTTCTAGAGTCTCAGCATCTTTTTTACATTGTGATGAGCAAAACTGGATGCAGTATTCAAAATGTGGCCTTACCAAGGCATTATAAAGTAGTATCAACACGTCACGTGATCTTGATCCTATCCCTCTGTTAATGCAGTCTAGAACTGTTGGCTTTTGTGGCAGCTGCAGCATACTGCTGGCTCATATTTAAGTGATTGTCCACTATGAGTCCAATATCTCTCTCACAGTTACTACTGTTGAGCAAGGTATCACCTATACTGTACCTGTGCATTTGTGGGTTTTTTTTGTCTAAATGTAGAACTTTAGTTTTTTCACCACTGAATTTCATTTTGTTAGATAGTGCCCAATCTTCAAGTCTGTCTGTATCTTAAGCCTATATTTTGGGGTGTTGATTATTCTTGCCAGCTTCGTGTCGTCTGCAAATTTGATGAGTTCTTATTCCCTCATCCAAATCATTGATGAAGATGTTGAAGAGTATTGGGCCTAAAACAGAGCCTTGGAGTATCCTATTGCATACTTCCCTCCATGTAGATGCAGTTCCATTGAGAACTACACATTGAGTGCAGTTGGTCAGGTTATACAAGGTTGGGTTCATAACAAAGGATTTCATAAAAGAGCAAACATTGGTAATTTGGTTCATGCATTATACTAAATCTGGGTAGGCATCCTGAAGCCTCAATGCTGCCTGTTGCCTTTAGACCCTGTGAAGAGCCTACACCTATCCCTAGCTTCTCACTGAGCCTTCATGTACTCATGTAGACCCCCAAACAAAACAGATCATACTTACTTTG